AAATTTGGGCTTAATTATGAACGTAAGTTGAGGACTTCCTGTGCACTTCAGGAACACTGAAATGTGTCCATATGTTCCTGTAGGTCTGAAAAGGCTTAGGATTCAGGTCCCGAAAACAAAATTAAAGATATGAAATGGTAAATTATGGAAATCCAGAAAAAATTTTTATTGGTCTGTATCAGAACTAAAGAGGAAGATAGTATACAGCTGGCACTTAATTCCAATAAGAATAGTGTATACCTTTCACAACTACTCAACAAAAAGTTGTAGGAGTTGTCAGTATAGGTAGTCCTCGCTTACAACTGGTTATTTAGTGACATTCAAAGTTACAACAGCATTGAAAACAGTGACTTATGACCATTTTCACAGTTACAACCTTTGCAGCATCCCCATGACCATGTGATCCAAATTCAGATGCTTGGCAACTGACTCACATTTATGATGGTTACACTGTTCTGGTATCATGTGATCACCTCTTGTGACCTACAAACAAGCAAAGTCAATGCCAGATTCAGTTAACAACCGTGTAACTAACTTAACGACTGCAGTGATTCACTTAACAACTGTGGCAAGAAAGGTCATAAAGTGGGGCAACATTCACTTAATAAATGTCTCACTTAATATAAACTTTGGGCTCAATTTTGGTCGTAAGTCAAAGACTACCTGTACGAGATGGATATTTGAAGAAGTGTGCTTTTCTGGAAGTAGTTACAGAAGTAAAACTCCTTTCTAATCAAAGAGCAGAAAATACCCCACTATTACACATCTTCAAGGGAGTAATTGCTAAATTACATAATAAGGAACTTTTTATATTTTTACTTCTAGCAGCTAATTAATAATTGCTCAACACTGGAAGTTCCTTGATGATTTAATGGCTGTGAAATGGCATACTAAATATAGCCAATTCTTGTTCTTAAAAAAAGTTACTGATAGAATTTGAATATTAAGTACACAGAAGAATCAACTACATTTTTACTGGATCTGTATAGCTATATATTGTAAAAATTATTAAACCAACGGTTTTGATTTTGTGTGAATCCTGCAATTTATGGAAACCATGAATTAATTCTGATTTAAACTTTTACAAAATGTACATTTTTTTCTAAATACAAATAAATTCAGAAGCCATCTCAGGTGGGCTGGTAACTGAATAGCTTATTAAAGGTACAGAAAAGGGATTTTTAATACACACGCTCTCCTTAGCCCATCAGGCTGAGGAGGACTTGCAAGTTTTGGATATACACAAAAATTCACAGGAAACGGTGAAACGAAGAAAGTGGTTCACATAAAAGCAGCCACTTTTGAGGATTTCAAAGGTTTATGTCTGAATAGTTTTAATCAGGCTATGTTATGGAAATTTTAGAACTTGGTGGCTTTTTTTGCTACTGTGACTTTAAGAAGTAAATCACTTTTTCATTTTCCCTCATTTTGATCATGACCCCTTTGGACTTAGAAAAGGACACTTCCAGCTTCACTGGTTCTTCATTCTTATTCTTTCTGCCTGTAAATTCTCTTCTCTGCTGTTCCATTTTATTCCAAGGCATCTTCAGCATTGCTAAGTCTTTCCTCCATCAGTGAAAAGATAAAGCTGGAGCTCAGTGAGGATTAAATTCACCTGATCTCAGGTGTACATTGTTCGAAACTCTCCATGTTTATCCTCCACTTTTCTTAAGCGTCTATATCTAAATACATCCTCTTAACTGCTGTTACAGCTCCACCTCATAGCCAGGACGTTGTGTACCATTATTGTATAATTTCTTCTTCCTTGTTTGCATTGTCCTGAAGAAGTCCTGCACATTTTACTCTGCTAGTCGTTGCCAACTACACGGGGCGGTGCTCGAGTCTGTTTTAAGGCCACTGGGCCTGTGCTGTCCAAAGACATTTCTACAGTCATGTAACCAGCATGATGTCACAGAGCGCAGTTATAGTGATACCTATTTATCGACTTGCATTTGCTTGCTTTCGAGCTGCTGAGTTGGCAGGATTGGAGTGAGGGCAGGACTTCACCCTGCTACATGGAGATCAGGTCCTGAGCTGGGCTGCCGGATTTCCAGACGTCAAGCCCAGCATTTTAACCACTGAGCCACCAATCTTATTGTCTTGAAAGCTTACTTATATACAAGAAATGTATTTAAAGGTCCTGTCAGAAAGGAATGGAGGGGTGGCAAGATAGAGAGGAACTGCCTTTTGTCTTCCCTGCAAGGCAGTTGACTTTCTTATAGCAGCTTGGCCCACTTAGAAGAAGAGGAGGACCAGCAGCAAAGGAGTTGGACAGAGACGATGGGTGGACTCTTGGAAGACCTGAAAAATCAGGTTAGGGACAGATTGTCACGGAGAAAGCCTGACTAAAAATTGACATTGATCTCATGACCCATAATCAATCAATAGGGGGCATGATGAGTCAGTGATTTAAAATGCTGAGTTTGTCAGCTGGAAAGCTGACAGCTCAGGTTTGAGACCCAAGTACCATGTGACAGGGTGAGCTCCCATTCCTTGCTCCAGCTCCTGCCCACCTAGCAGTTTGAAAGCATGCAAATGCAAGTAGTTAAATAGGTACTACTGGTGGGAAGGTAACGGCATTCTGTGTGCCTCGGCATATAGTCATGCCAGCCACATGACCTTGGAAGTGTCTTCGGACAATGCTGGCTAAGAAACGATGATGAGCACCATCCCCTAGAGTTGAAATCGACTGGATGAGGGATCAATAATCAGTCTGAATGAATTAACACAAATGAAATCCCTAGATGAGCAAGACAGCTCATCACACTATTGCTTAGTATTCCTGTCCCACCTTACATACATCTCCAGGTTCTCAGTTAAGAAAATCTTTTGCAAGATAGTTTGGGGGAAATAGGTTTTCTACCCAGGAAGGCTCAGGGATCAAAATTCCAGATTTGGTGTGTTCGCACTGAGCTATAAGGGCTTCAAGCTAACTACCCACAATCTGCCACAATATTTATTAAAGTGCTGCCTCTAAACCAGGAGAGAATCAATGGCTAAGTAAATAAGAGCACTTGAATAATCAGTGCGAGACTATTTCAAAAAATCAGCAAGTCTCCTGCTTTTGTTTCCCTTCCTAACTATTGTGCTTGGAAGAATAGTTGCTTAGAAAAAACTGTTGGCTTATAAAGAGAACTTCTTAAGTTCACAGAACAAGTCATATTTTGAATTGTATCCCCAACTTAGTTTTTTCTGCAATTTTCTGTATTCCTCTAAGTACAGCTGCGAAACAGAATCCAGAACGAATACTTGTATGTAGATCAAAAGTGCTATGCACATTTGTATCCTTAGAATATGTGTAATTTTAAGCCTGTTTTTCCTAGAAAAACAGCACATTTGAAGCACATTTTTAAAAAATTAAAAGCATAACAAAGCAGTAAAAAATCATTTGTTTGCAAAGATTATTTCTGCAGCCAATGGAACATAGTGATTGGATTAAAAAAACAACAACAAAAAAGCCAAAAGAAAAACAGATTTCTGCAACATCTCCAAGAAGAAAAGATTCCACGATTATAAGATCTACTCAGAACATTTTAAATCTTATATTCCCTAATGGTAGAATTTGTCTCATGTCTGCAGTTTTTCATTATTACAGAAACTTGAAGCCAGCAACCCAAAATTTTGAAGTTCAAAATTTATAGCGAAACTGTAGAGAATGAGTTTTATTTTTTTTGTAAAAAAATTAATATAAAATGCAAAAAAATGCATGTTTGGGGAAAACGTCTCTCATTTATTTGATTTAATACAGAAATGGGGCAGAGCATGCTTTTAAATAAATGGATGCAAAACGGAAAATAGCCCAGTTTCTCCATTATATAAGAACATAAGAAAAATATAAGGGAGGAGGCCAAACATCCATTCGTTTCATAACCTGATTTCTCACAGTGTCAGCCAGAAGGCAGTTCAGATCCTGAGTTTGGTAAATGATGGCTGCTTTTTTTCAAAGGCAGCTGATGCAAAGATACGCTGCATCTACATACAGAGGTTCAGGTTTAGTTCTTCCACTTTCATTTGGGGATCTCTCCTTTCCCTTATTTTTTTCAAAAGCTGGTGGGTCATCCCTAGTTTTCTGTGATTCGATGACACCTCCACCACAACACTTATGATTTTGCCTAGTGTGAATCCAATCCAGGAAAAAAGTTCCAGATGCCCTCAGCAGCTGGTGCACCCCAAGACCCCTTGAAAAATTTTGCATAGCAGATACAATTTTGGATTGCAAAAAGCAGTTGCAGTTTGGTAGCAGCTGCAACCATTTGCAAAAGTTAGTTTTTAGCATTTTGTACTATTTAGGGGTGACCTAAAAAATATGAACAATTCATTCCTACCACGAACGCCGACCTTTCTCATTTATCAGCCAGAAGGCTCAAATCCGGGAAAACCCCACTGACATTTCCACAACATCTGCTCAACAACTTTAACAATGATTCCTAATGGAAAGCGAAATGGGTTTCTGAACGCCCAGACATAGGAAGACATATAAATGACCCCATGAAAAAAAAGTGCCAGGCTTTGAGCTACCATGCCAGCAGTGGACAATTCTGAATAGGATTCGCACCTCACACGGCAACTGCCAGGAGTTTCTGTATAAATGGGACACAGCATCCTCCCCTCCGTGCGACTGCGGGGTCCCACGTCAAACTGGAGCTCATAAGCATGACTGGCTCTAAGCTGAGCATATATATCAGTCCGGTATCGGATTTTTTTTTTCATATAAACAGTGCTGCACCGCAATGATTAGATGGCCTACTATTTGAACATAGAATCTTTTTAACATTTGTATTTTATTGCATTTTTTAATCTGGAGAAATGTTAATATATATTGCAAGCCCATGTAGGATATGCCATTCCCTCATTCACTCCCTCACTCCCTCAATCCATCCAAAGGGGTGACCAAATCTGGCCTGCCCCTACCCCAACACAGGGCCCAGCCATTCCTCTTTGTGATGAAGCCAGCTAGATGGAGCAAGGAGCGGAAAATGAGAAAAACCGACGCTACTCACCCTTACAAAGCTGGCCGGAAACCAGCCCTCTTCATCGTCGATCTGTCCCCACCACCAGTCCTTGTTGGAGGCATCGAGCACCTTGATAACGTCTCCCGCTTTAAACGCCAACTCCCGGTTGGCCATGGTGACGTGATCCCATACTGCCTCGGCACTGACAATCGAACCGCCACTGATCAGCTTGAAAGACAAACACAAGGCCCATTAGCCATGTTCTCCTCCCCCAGGGAGAAAGCCACCTCCTCCCGCCACCCCGATTCAGAGAGGATGAGGAAGCCATGCGCCTTGCACCTAGTGGGAATGCCAGTCCCTTCCTTCTGAAAGAACGTGGGCAGTTTGGACCACCTGGCCAAGGAAGGTCTGTGACCAAATGATGCCATGCAAGTCATTTCAGGGTCTTCTCTTTATAGGATTTTCTCTGCCAGACTAAGATTAATGACCATTCATTTAGAGATGTTCAAAATTACAATGCTTTGAAAAAAAGTGATTTACAACTGATCCTCAGACTTACAACCGTTGCAATATCCCAGGATCCAAATTATGACCTGATAACCGGCATAATTTTCCAACGGTTGCAACATCCTGGAGGTCTGGTGATCAGGACCTGCAACCTTACCAGCCAGCTTCTAACAAGCAAAGTCAATGGGGAAAGTCAGATAAGCTTAACAACTGCATGATTCACTTAACAACTGCAGTGACTTGCTTAACCACGATCGCAAAAACATTGTAAAGTTGGGTGTGTAACAACTGCCCTGCTTGGAAAACCTGGTCCCAGTTGTCAAGGACTACCAATATAGCATTATAGGCTGCAACTGAAGACACGTGCAAAAAGTCACATGTCCAGCCTCTACCCTTACACCCCGAAAGCTATCAAGTCACGGTTCCCGCTGAGCCTTCTCTCTGAGAATCTGACATAATAGATGGAAGAATGTTTTTCGCATCATCTTAAAAAAAAACTGGGCTGGGGTGCGTGGGAGAAAGAGTGCAATAAAGATGAAACATTCCACATAAACCCGGAATACTGAATATCAGATGGGAAAGAAAAAGACGGAGCACAGGACAGAATAATCTAGCTAGTTGGTTGGCTGAAAGCCTCCACAGAATGACTCTGCAATGAGGAGGATATTTAATTAGTTCCTCCATTTCCTACCGTCTTCTAATGCTAACAGTAAGCACTATGAATGTTCCGACAAGACGTAGGAGAAGAACTGGCAGGGGGAGGAGTTAAGTGAGGCAAAAGTGTAGACACAAAAGAACTAAGTCAACCCTCCTTGAATGCCATGGACCTAATCAAGTTCTAGCTGAGAAGGTTCCTCCTGGGCATAGGCTTTAGCAATAAACCAGTAATTTGGAACGTCTGCTTTTGGACCTGGTTGTGGAGTTTTGGTTTTGGTTTTTTTTTCACCTAACATAATTTGACATAATGAACAAATCTTAGCCTTATGAATCTTCACGCTAGTTCAAATCTCATTTCACTTCAAGTTAAGAATTTGTGATTGATGGCTAAGAACATCAGCCATCACTTGTCTGTACTAGAGATCTCTGCCATATCAAGAATGCAAGTGCCATTCAACATCTAAACTGGTGTAGGAAAAATAACCTTCTTGGAAGACCCCTTCCTCACAACCTCTCTTGAACAAGAGAGCAAGAGGCCAAGTGTCAAGCCATCCTCCCCTTAGGATGGTCCATGACAGAATCAAAGCCATCCCATTCATTAATTGTTCTTACTCTCAGGAAATGTCTTCTTAGTTTTAGATTGGATCTCTCCTTGATACGTAGCCATCCATTATTTCTTGTCCTGCCCTCAGGTGTTTGTGAGAGTAGATCAACCCTCTGGTCTCTCTCAGGACAGCTCCTGAAATATTGTAAGGCTGCTACCAAGTCACTCCTCGTCCTTCTTTTCACAAGACTAGACATATCCAATTGCTGCGATTGTTCTTCATATGTTTTCGCCTCCAGTTCCCTAATCATCTTTGTTTCTCTTCTCTCTACTCTTTCTAGTGTCTCAAACGTATTTTTTATATTGTGGTAACCAAAACTGGATGCAGTATTACAAGTGTGGCCTCACCAGTGCAGTATAAAGTGGTACTAACACTTCACGTGGCCTTGATACTAGTCTCTGTGGATATGGAGGGATAGAAAGTTTAAACTACTATAGAGTGTAGCTGGCCCTACTAAACTTTTTAATGCAACTTTTCCAAAAAAAAATTTACACAGGGAAAGAACACTTGGAAGAGCACTGCAAAACAAGAAGCAAAGGATGGAAACTAAGCCAGGAGAGAAGCAACCTAGAACTAAGGGGAAAAAATCCCGGCATTGAGAACAATTAACTAATGGAAGGACCTGCCTTGAGAGGTGGTGGGGGCTCCATCCCTGGAGCCTTTTAGGAAGGGTCTAGACTGCCCCTTGCCTGAAATGGTGTAGGGGCTCCTCCTGGAGCAGGAGTTGCAGTTGTAGCAGGAGTTAGAAGACCTCCAAGGGTCCTTCAAACACTATTATTCTAGGATTCCGTTATTCTTATCAGGCCTTGCCAATCATGGAAAGTGATTCTTCTGAAGCCATTGGTGGGCTCCTTGCCTACCAGTTCCTTTCGACTTTTCCGACTCTTTCTGCCTCTCTGCTGCAGTGTTTCTCCCCGCTCTTTCCTTTAGTGCTGTCAAAAGGAAAAATGTCAGGGAAAGTTCCCATTACTTATTTACAGGCTCCGTTCCCGTGTTCTTTTTCAGGCCTCTCAAGTGGAATTCCACAAGTACCACCCTCAGCAAGATCTATCAGCCGTGACCCTAGAAGCCGCTGATGCCTTTATTGCTTTTTTTTAAAAAGGAGAAAAACCAAAGATTTAAAAGAGTAGTTTAGGCAGGAGGACTTCAAAATAGAGAATTATTGCTGAAGCTTGCTAATGGAGATTGTGTGTAGAACAGTTCCTCTAAATCAGGGGTCTCAAACTCACACCATCACGGCAGCATCATGTGATATATCGGGACTTTTTTCCCCTTCGCTAAACCAGGCGGGGCCAGAACGTGTCGCCTCCCTGGTCAGATGGAAGCATTATTTTTCATTCCAGAATTATTTTGACTCTTTTTAGTTGCACACCTTTGTTAGTTGAAGACCATTGAGGTGGATGGACCAGGTAGAAGAAAGAGTTTTGTCCAAGATACACTCCTGCCTTTTATACGCTCACACCATCATGGATCTAGAGACACTGAATGCACCATTGGGGCACCCAGTTCATGGGTGGCTGTCTTGAGCTCTGTCTTTCACCAGAACCTCCTCACTACTTCACTGCTGGAAGTCACCCAATCACCTCCCTCAAAATCTGGTGGCAAGGGGCCTTATCACCTTCAAGCCAGAAAACCCAGAAACACTCATCTTGGCGGTCCTAAAATTGAGGGACAGTTCAGAAAATGCAAAAGAAAAAAACTAGACTTGACCATATGTGGATGAAGCCTCCACCTACTTCGCCTCCTCATCTTATTCACTGGGTTCCCATCCTCCTGTAAGTATAACTATATTGCCCATAAAGAAGAATTGGATCACTTATCATCCAGCAACTCACTGCAATGTCCTTTTTAAGTGAAGATGCCATGTTAAATATGGGGCTCCTGCTAAACTATGGCTCCCACCAATTGACATGATGCCCAAGAGATGAGGATGCAGCTCCAGAGGTTCCTGGAGGAAACTGATGGCCTTCACTCATCTCAGTGAGCTTTCAGAATAGGATTCAGTACAACTAAACAACCTTCACAAAAGCTTTAAAGATCTAGCTCTTTCGGTAGGCACCAAGCCAGGAGAATCTACTAAAACGTTGAACATCGAGTTTTTCCACGTTGGGATGGTTTTACTGCAGTTGTTTGATTGCTGTGATTAAGGTGGTTGTTCTGTTTTGATCTTTTAACCCTCTGGAAAGCCACCCAAAAATCACTCAGGGAGTGGGAAGCCTTAAAACTAAATAAAAGAATAATAAAATAAGTTAGAAGATTCATAAGATAATAGATGGGGAAACAGACACAGAGGATGCTGGACAGCAGAATGGAATGAGACTTGAACTGAAGCTGAATGAAAGGAGTTTCGGGACAATTCTTCAGGGTGAACCAGATTAGAGCTTCCTTCAAACTTTCCTTGTCAGTGTGGGAAATCATGGAGTGTGTGTGTGTGTGTGTGTCCCTGCATACACAAGCTATGGTTAATACCTAGAAAGAGACCCCCTAAAAGTACAGAGAAGAACAATAAAAAGGATTAGGGCACTGGAGGCTAAAACATATGAAGAATGCCTGCAGGAACTGGGTATGCCTAGTCTGTTGAAAATAAGGACTTTTCACTAGACCAGACATGACAGCAGTGTTCCAATATTTGAGGGGCTGTCATAAAGAAGAGGGGGTCACCCTATTCTCCGTAACACCCGAAGGCAGGATAAGAAGCAACAGAAGGATCAAGGAGAGAGGCAACCTAGAACTGAGGATAAATTTATTGACGGATAGAACAATTAATTAGTGGAACAGCTTGCCTGCAGAAGTTGTGGCTGCTCCATCATTGGAGGTTTTCAAAAAGAGCCAGCTATTTGTCTGCAATAGTAAAGGTGTCCTGCCTGAGCAGGGGGTCAGACTAGAAGACCTCCAAGATCTCTCCCTGTTATTCTGTTACTCTCACCCTGACACCAGCCATGCTGGGTGAGGCTTCTTGTTGCTCTCACGCTCATGTATCTCAAGGGCATCCAACCAGTCAAGGCAAAAAAAAACCCCTTTCATTTGACAAAAAAAAATATATCCATTGATTTCCCCTGCTCCGTTCTGCCCCACTGCCCTTGGCAATCCCACCTCCCTTTCTTCATTTCTGCTTATCTCCCCCATTGCTATTCTAAGACTGCTCTAAGGAGCAATTCAATTGCTTTGGCCTTTTGGAATATATGGGTTATTTTTAATTATTATTTGAAATGATTACAGATTGACCTTCCCTTTTCATTTTCCCCCCTTCCTTCTGTGGCTTGGCAAGCGGCTGTGCCTAGAATAGGACAGAAAAGCAATAATTTAGCAGATATTTTGTCCTGGTCGCTCTCTCTCTCTCTCTCTTTGCTTTGCAGCTCTACCCTATCTTGCCTCCAGCTGCTAAGGGAAAACTTGAGTTGAGAAAGGCATTCGTGCTTAATTACTCAACAGCTTTTTAGATCTTAGGAGATAACGCAA